TATGTTTATGTTCGGGTTAATCCAGCCTCTAGTGGCTGTCTCATTGACAGCCGCTAGAAGGCTTCCGCGTTTCTCACTGTGAAAAATCACAGTGAGAAGACGCCAGCGTCTATAGGAAAGCATTGTGAATGCTTTCCTATGGACTGGCTGTATGCGCGCGCGGCTCCTGCCGCGCATGCGCATTCAGCCGAAGAGGAGGAGGAGGAGAGGTCCCTGCCCGGCGCTGGAGAAAGAGGTAAATTTAACCCCTTCCTCTCCCCAGAGCCCGGCGGGAGGGGGACCCTGAGGGTTGGGGCACCCTCAGGGCACTATAGTGCTAGGAAAACGAGTATGTTTTCCTGGCACTATAGTGGTCCTTTAACCCCTTAGGGACCAAACTTCTGGAATAAAAGGGAATCTTGACATGATACACATGTCATGTGTCCTTAAGGGGTTAACCATGCCTTAAGGCTTGCTCCTCTTATCGAATCTGATGTCCACCTCTCCCCCGATACAATTCTACTGATGTCTATTTTTGTCGGTATACTTAAAGGGAAACAAGAAGATGACTTGCTCTTACGTTTATGAATCAGTGCTGTTCAAATTATGTACATGTTATCCACACACATACACATATTATACATATATTATTATTATTATTATATTTATATAGCACCATCAAATTCCACAGCACTTTACAATGGGTGGACGAACAGGCATGTAGTTGTAACCAGACAAGTTGGACTCTCAGGAACAGAGGGGTTGAGGGCCCTGCTCAATGAGCTTACATGCGGGAGGGAGTGGGGTAAAATGACACAAAAAGGTAAGGAAAGTATCAGACTAGTGTCAGTTGCAGAACAGGAATATATAATAACAACACCTTTACATTTTATCACTAAACAACATTGCAACTTCAACAGTTAGTCAGAGAGACAATAACATTATTATCAATAGCATGCCATAATAAGAGGTTCGCACAGTTTAGGGATCACACACATAGTAAGAAAGGTTCTCGATATAAACATGAATACTAAAATAACTCCACAATGGCATGCAACACAATGCCATATATATATATATATACACACAATTTATATAAAGCAAAAAAATATATAATTTCATAGGAGCAGCTGCAACACACCATTAATAAATAGCAGAAATCCACTAAAGGTAGATTGTAAGGAGTACATATTGTCACATTATTGCTTAAAAAGATATAAAATCATATTGATTGATACACAAAAAGTAAAAAACTTCACAAGGGGAAAATACCTGCTAATGATATCCTCCATGCAGCCCATCACAAGACATGCACATCCACAACAGACAGCCGGAACAGAGAATCAAGAAGAGGACTTTTTTTTCAATTCAGAGAGCACCATGATGTCACAAATGATGCAACCACTGTGTTCTAACCACATGTCTCAGAAATGATATTACCGGCTTCCTACAAACCCTTTGGAGCCAATAGGATTCTTTTTGATGTTGCCGTGGTTACTCAATTGCTAAATTATCAGAAGAACAGATGCAAACCGCTTCCTGCCTATTTCCATTCATATACAAATTACAAGAATTGTATGACTGGACTAAAATCCATCATTTAATACCAGTTCTTATGCCTTGCTTCTGAACACCTACACAGCTAACTCGTTTGAAAGCTTATGGTTTGTTATAGCAATTTTGAGACCCATAGCAAACACTATCTGATTTTGTGATAGAGTACATGATGTATGAGGTAGGTTGACACAATCCTCTACCTCATTAGTAAAGAACATTTATTAAAAACTTTAAGCACTTCTGTAGTCTGTAGAAAAGACATAATTTAAATTTAATCTAGAACTTCTACACAGACATACAGATGCACACTACCACACAGAAAAACACGAACAGTGCAATACAAAGATAGACACACGTACATTACCACACACAGATATGCATACAGACAGAGACACACAGATGCACTCCAAGGGATGCGCGCACACACACACACAGAGTGACACATATGTGTACAAATACACAGACATACATACACACACACACACACACACACACACACAGATCCACAAATACTGACACATGTGTTACAGGAATAATCTTATTTCTTGTTTTATCTATGTACACCACGGTGAGGATTTTTACTACATACCTCCAAGAGTGGGAAAGAGTGACGAGTGTGAAGAAAAGGGAGAAGGAGGAGAGTTTGAGAGCTGTAAAAATAAAAAGGAGCAAAAGAAAAGTGCTAAAAAATAGATGCATGCTTGAAATTAAGAGAGGAGAAGAAGGAGTGTTTGAGAGAGGTGTAAAAAATAAAAGAAGAAAAGAAAAAAGTGATAAAGGAGATGGGGAAGTTGCTAAAGATGATCATGTGAATAAGTAGGATGGCTTACGAGAGGTGCAATCCAACAAGTGCAGCATGTCTCTTCATTGAAGAGTATGATGATTGATGATGATTTTATGAAGATTTCAATATGGTATGTATTCCTTTAACATTCCAACAACATATATGTATTTGCTATACTTTCATTTTGTGTTTGTACTTAATTATTTGGATTTTCAATGGTAAACTTTGTTGGTCAGGAACAGAACCCATTTCTATTACATTGTCTATAGGAAATTAGTTCTCACTTTATGAACTAGGCTTCAAAACCAATTAGTTTGTAAAGTCGGGAACTACCTGTACACTTACTGTAGAATATTACATATTCTATATGTCCCTATTCAAATACATATTAAGGTGTGGATGTCTAATGGGTTAAAAAGAATAGCTCGTGTTTGCTATTCTGTACAATGAGGACTCTGGAATGTGCTGTATAAGGAGATTGGGGGTAGGGTCCTTATATGGGCAGTTTCCTTATATGGCCAGAGTCTTAATTAAAAGTTATGATGTCATTTTGCCTATAAAGAACTGAGGACAAAGGACCACGTTCTCTTTCTGTTACGCTCAACTCTCCTCTCCTGGTGTGTCCCTGACTTGCTGATATTAAAACGATTACTTAAGATCTCACTCTCTGGAAGAAGAAATGCCATCAGTTAAGTAGATTATTGTTTGCTTTTGAAGTAGAATAAATGCATATTTTTTTATAAAGAATGTCAGATTGTGTATTAGCTCCCTTCTCCTCCGTGTAACTCTCGCGACAATCGCGGCCGTCAGAGCGTTGCCACGAGTGCGCGAGGTTTACACTGGGAGCAGAACGGAGCTGACAGGGGAGCTGCACGGAGGAGAAGGGAGGTGATAGGAGCTGCTGCAAATGTAAGTAACAGCTCGCTGCCAGCCCGCCCACTGAACAGCCAATGTCACTGGACCACCAGGGATTCACATAGCCCCCCTCCCTGGCCAGGCAAAAAGCAGGGAGGGGGGACAAAAAATAAAATAAAAAATAACAAATATTAAAATAAAATAATAATAAAATAATAATAATATTAAAATAAAATAATATTAAAATAAAAAAATTAAAATAATAAAAATGCCCTCCTCCTCTCACCCAGTTTACACACACTACACAAACTCACACTGCATTATATACACACACTGCATTATATACACACACACACTGCATTATACACACACACTGCATTCACACAAACACACACTGCATTATATACACATACACTACATTCATACAAACACACACTGCATTCTATACACACACACACACACACACTACATTCATACAAACACACTGCATTCTATACACACACACTGCATTCATTATATACACATACTACACACAAACACACACACACTTCATTCATTATATACACACACTGTAAATAAATATTCAATTAATCCCTTAAGGACGGAGCCAAATGTACAAGTTGTGAACAAAACAAAATGTAAACAAAACCTGGCATTTGCGCTACATGTCTGTTCAACCGTAATTCACCTCTTTCATAGTAAATGCACCCACCCTTATTATATATCATTTTATTCAGGGGAAACAGGGCTTTCATTTAATATCAAATATTTAGCTATGAAACATAATTTAATATGAAAAAAATGGGAGCAAATACGATTTATTTTGATTTTTTTAGTTCTACATGACATTTTAACGGTCAATGTCATAATACTGTTTGCTTTTACTGCAATAAAATACACATATTTGTATTCAGCAAAGTCTCACGTGTAAGACAGTACCCCCTATGTACAGGTTTTATGGCGTTTTGGGAAATTACAGGGTCAAATATAGCACGTTACATTTGAAATTGAAATTCGCCAGATTGGTTACGTTGCCTTTGAGACTGTATAGTAGCCCGGGAATGAAATTTACACCCATAATGGCATACCATTTGCAATGGTAGACAACCCAAGGTATTGCAAATGGGGTATGTCCAGTCTTTTTTAGTAGCCATTTGGTCACAAACACTGGCCAAAGTTAGCGTTAGTATTTGTTTGTGTGTGAAAAATGCAAAAAAACGCCAATTTTGGCCATTGTTTGTGACTAAGTGGTGTTATGGGCAAATGCAAATATTACAAGTTTTAGAATGAAATGTTCTTTTTATTAAACTGTGTACTTTGTCTTTAAGAGATATTGCAAACTGACAAGGTGTTAGAAATGGAACATATTGTTTATCATAACTGTTTCTTTAAGCAATAACCTCAGTGCATAATATGTTTGCGCCATTTTGTCCCAGATGAATTACAATAACAATAATGATTAGGTGTACACTCAGTATTGGAAATTAATGATAAAAACCACCACTGGTGTGCATATGGAGCGCTTACAAATTTGTTGACTCACCCATATGGGTTAACATACATATGTATGGAAAACGTGACTCATAGCGATATATCTGAAACAAATGTAAATGCAAAAAATAGTGCAGATAACGTTTTCAATAAGTGCAATGAGGGAATATTCTATATGGTCTCACTCACATGTAGCAGA